GGGGGTTGGGGGGGTGGGGATCGGCAGGAAGTATGCAGTTGGGCTCCAGGGCTTGGCAGGGCACCTTGGTGGATGCTTACCCACGACCTGGGGAGGGAACTGAGAGTGAAATGCAAATTGTGGTGAGTGAAAGAGAAAAAACACACCAAAGGCCTTTCTCCTGGGGGTGTTTTGCCTCTTTCTGCTCCTCATGAGGGAGAGCAGGTTCCTTTATTTGGAGGGGCAAAATCTCCCTTGAGCTGGGGGGAGAGGTGGCCTTGGGTCGTGGGTGAGGAACTGATACGAGACAGTGAGCAGGCAGATGCCAGCTGCTTTCAGCATGACTTCGTGCAGCAGGGGATGTGGAAACAGGAGGAGGACCAGAGCTTGTCCCCAGGAGCAGGGGTTCACTAGCTGCCATTGATGCTCCTCCAGCCTTGTCCCCTCCGCCACTCCTCTCCTCACCACCTGTTTCCAACGCCTTCTCCTGACCTTCTTAGGGGAAGGCTTTTCCACTTCATCCCCCCTTTCGCTCACTTTTGGGGAGGACTTTTCTTAGAAACATTTGCAGAGTTGCTTTCTTCAAAACCCTCTTTTGTTGTAATGTCACCAAATTCAGGGGACAGCATGGGGAGAAGGGGCTGTTGTGGCGAACAGAAGCGGTTTGTGTTCCCACCAGCATCCCGGTGTGCTCCTCTCTGCTGATGGGCAGCCATGCCAGTGCCTATGGAGGAGTAGCACCAGGGAGATAACCTGGGTGGGAGCAAGAGGATTAGCCCTGCTGCTGGGAATGAGCCTGCTTATACATTGCGTGTTGCCTGCTAGAGAGGGGCTGCACACATCCAACATCCATAACAACAGCAAAAAGCAATCCAAAATACTGGGAGGGAGAGAAGTGCCACGATAAAAAGTCCCTAATCACAGCTAGATTCTTGCCTCAAAGATAGTATATATAATATGGATTTTTTTTGTGTGTGTGTGAGATTGTTGAAACAGGTTGGAAGCAGAAAAATCGTTGCATGTTGATGCCTTAGCTGTAGCACAGGGAAGGGGGAATAAGCCTGTGGGTTGCTATTCACAGTGTGCCTCATCCCAGGGAGAGGGGACAAATCAATGAAATTTAAAAGCCATGCATTTAGATTTGATTAAAAGATTTTTTTTTTCTACACTCTACATAATTAAGCTTTAGAGCTTGTAGGCACAGGGGTTGAAAATATAAAAATGGGAATGAAGGTTTTAAAGGGATGATGAGCACATCCAGGCTTATGAGGGAGAATTAAAACTACAGAATGTTAAAGATGGTACTATAAAAATCACATCCAAGACATAAAACAGCTGTGAATTCATGGGATGAGGATACCCCTTCATCGACCTGCTCCAGCCTTGCTCCTGAAGGCATTGCACCTCCTCCCATGGTGCTGCTTGCCCCCGGGGAAGCATTTCCCTTGTGTTTTTTCAGGCTGAGGTTACAGGGTGTGTTGCTGGGAATGCATTACTCGAGCTCCAGGTTTGGGATGGATGCCCAATGCCCTTGCTGAGGACCTTTGTACACCCTCCTGATGTTTGCTGGTAGAACAAAGTTCCCAAGCATCGCTCATGCAAGAAGGGGACTTTGGTAAGAGGGCTGTGATGAAATTATGTCTGTACAAAGTGCAGATGGGGGCGGGGGGGGAGCTGGCAGTGTGATGCTCTGAAACTGCTGGAAGTGTCCAGACAGGAGCATGGCTGCCTGCAGTGTGACCATGCTGCCTGCACAGAGCCCGGTCTGCTCGAGGAGGTGCATTCCTTGGAGAGTCTGAAAATGTGAGATACCACCATGTGTGATACTGCAGGACTGTGTCTAGAGTGTACAGATGGCTTTGAGCTGTGCAAGGGCAGAGGGGCCCAGAGTGATGAGGCTGGTGAGCACCTGTGATGGTGGTGGGGCAGGAGGTCCCCAGGGGTGGATGTGGTGGGGCAAAACACCTCCCTGGCTTAAGTCACAGAAACACAGAATCATCTCTGTTGGAAAAGACCTTGAATATCATCCAGTCCAACCCTTAACCTCACACTGACCATTCTCAACTCCACCAGATCCCTCAGTGCTGGGTCAGCCCAACTCTTCAACCCCTCCAGGGATGGGGACTCCCCCACTGCCCTGGGCAGCCCATTCCAACGCCCAACAAGCCCTTCTGGAGAGAAATTCTTCCTAGTAGCCAGTCTAACCCTGCCCTGGTGCAATCCTTCCCTGGTTTCAAGTCAAAACTTGGAATGTTTAAGAGGGGGCTTGTGCCAGCCCTCACCCCCTTCTTATCCCATCTGAAGCATGAAGCTGGGCCACGGCTCTGACTCTGGGAGGTGGGTTATGGGTCAGGAGGAATGCTATGGCTCCACATACACCTGCCTTCTCTGGGTACCAACCTCCAAGTGGTGTGTGCCCACCTCATGCATCTGGTTATTGCAATGGGAGTCTGTGTTCCCTTCAGGTGAACCGTTTTAAGGGCTGTCTGCAGGGATTGGGAGTCCTGGAGGTCCCACTTGGCCCCAGACATGCTGAATGGAGGGTACAATAGAGGGCGCTGCCCTTCTGCAAGGGACCACAAATGACACCCACTGCATTGGGCCAACTCTTAGCCAAGCAGGGCGAGGCTGGGATGACAAACAGAGGGATGACAACCCTTCCTCTCTATCCCAAACCCATCTCTACCCTTGGCTCCTCCATGTGCAGAGGAGAGCCCCTGGGCTTGTCTGAAAGGTCTTCCATGGCACTGACTCCCTTCAGACATGAAGGGACAACAGTTAATCCAGACAGTTGAGTCTGTCGGGCTTCAGGCTTGGCTTTTTGCTGTGCTGGTGGCCGTGGCCAAGGTGGGGGATCCCCGTGCTTACGACTTCCTTTTTTTCTTTCTCTTGAATCAGAGAAAGAAAGAGAAGTTGAGAAGCTGCTGCAAAGCAAATGCCCCTGTTTTGTCTTTCTGAAATTAAATTTAGAAAATATTTAAGTGGTCTGGCAGAAGAGCTTCTTTCAGGCTTTCTCATCCCGCCTGGCTATGTGTCAAACATGAAAACTTAAGATGAGGAGGTCTAAATAAAGTCTACATGTGAAATAAGAGGAAACTTTCAAAATCCTCTGAAATTCATACTTGTCCCAGAGATTTTTGCTAAATCAATGTTGGTTGTTCGTTTTTGGACAGTTTTTTGTTTCCCACTGGGAGCATGTTATGCTGGAAATAGCTTTGCAATTTGGTTTTCAGTGGGATTTCCATCGTGCTGAGAACAGATTGCTGTCTATATTGGGAGAAAAGCTCTAATTGAAGACTTTGGGGTTGTTTTGCTCGCTCCCATGCATTTACACTGCAGCTTTGCTTTCTCTGGCTGCAAATTGCAGAGCTGAGGGCCTCTCTAGCTTGTGGGAGCAGCTAAATTTATTAAGAAAGCATCTTTCACTGGGCTGAGGTCAAAGTGCAGCTCCCTGCCTTACTGGTGTTAAAGGACAAGCAGCATGGTCTGACTTTGTGGTCACTTCATTGGTATTTACTGTAACAAGATAACTCAAGCAGGGGGGACCTTGGGGAGCCTCTGGTCTGACCTGCTGCCTAAGACAGCCCTGGGGTCAGATGAAGTTGCTCAGGGCTTTCTCCAGCCTGGTCTTGAGCACCTCCAAGGATGGAGATGGTACCACCAGCCAGCGCTGGGCTGTCCCCAAAATTTCCTCCCTGTGTGTTTGGGTTTTTTTTGTTTGTTTGTTTGTTTGTTTTTGTTTGTTTGTTGTTTTGTTTGTTTATTTTTAAAATCACATTGCATGTGCTTTGCCTCAGGTGCTCTCTTCCTCCCAGTTTGTGTTCCTTGGTGTGCTTTGCGAATGAGGAGTGTGGTTTCTTCCAGCTGCTGCTGAGCTTGCTGGGGCGGCTCTCGGCTGGGCAACACATTGCAGCTCAGCTGCAAACCACAGAGTGAAAAACCAAGCCTCTGTGGCCAGCTGCTTCTGATGCAGAAGTATGTGAGTACCTCCTCTGGGGCAAGGCATGACCTTGCAGGAGGGTGAGAGCATGTGAATCCCTGCTAATGAGCCCCCGTGCTCCTTCTCCCATGGGGTAAATGAGGATTAGGGACAGAAGATGCACTGAGGTCATGGCTGTGATGCTCTCAGGCTTGGATACACCAGAACCCCGCTCACACAGCACTCCCAGACAGGCACACAGCTCACTCGTTCAGTATCTTTTATTAATGTATAGAAAATGCATTAAAAAAAGGAACTATACATAGCCTAAGAGCGGTCAGGACTAAAAATACTAGTTAACAATGGTTAACAAGCGTCGATCCCATTCTCTGAGCTAAGTTTTCATTACAGGGTGGGGAGGGTTGTTTAATATATTATTTATTTATATTGTTTATTTTATTTATGCATTTATTTGCTTTTATCTTCCCCCTCATTTGGTTTTGTTGATTTGTGTTTGAGTTCATCAGAACTTGTCCAAGGGATTTCGTTGCCTCCGTTCTTTCTTCTTATTTAAGGTTTTTAATTTTTTTAAAGTAATAAACACAATTCCAGGGTAACACCTGTACAGAGGGGGCTGCTTGCTCATTTGTTGATCTTCGCGTCACCATCCTTCTGAGAAACCACTGACACCTGGAGAGCTGCAGCCTGGGTACCAAGGCAGCTCTGGGCATCAGCATCTCCCTAGGAAAGAGTGTTTCCCTCCCCCCTTACTGCAAACCTCCCCCCTGGGAGGGGCAATGAGCTGCCACCACGCTCTGGGCACCATCAGGTTTAAGGAAGGGGGAAAGTGACCCTGGAGGGTACTGGTGGTCCTCAAGAGGCTTGGTCGAGTTTGTTGACCATCCTGAGTGCTTGGTTGACAGAAACAGGGATGGGCTTCTTGCTTGGCCTTGGGACAGAGACCTTTGTTAGTGGGTGTAAGCATGACTTGAAGTGTTTTTTGGGGTGAGACCTCTTTGCTGGCAGTGTCTGGTAAGGTCAAAGCTTGTGGGTGTTGCTGGGGGGCACAGGGCAGGGGGTGTGTGGTCATCCCAGGGTGTGATGGTGGGGACACACCAGGAGTGTGGCTCTGGGTCTGCCACATAAAGGGCATGTGCTGGCACGGAGACGATGCACTGGGCGGGTACTCTGACTCTTGCTGTATTTGGGCAGGTCACTCTAAGTCTGTTGTGGGCACAGGGTCACCCCAGTGTGGGAACACCACTACCTGAGCCCTCACCTGCTGCACCACTGGGGACAAAGGTGTCATGAGCTGTGATTTCCACACCCTGACACTTCAGCTGGAGTAAGCATCACTTTGGGAAGAAGGTAGGAACTTGGGGCAAGAGGGCATTTAGTCTGGTGCTATGCTTTGAGATGTCCATGGTAAAGTAATACAAAGATGGGTAGAAGCAAAGGCTTCTTCCCAACCTTTGTGTGGCTCTGACACTCTTCCAGCATCCTTCTGGCAAAACCCAGCTACCTTTGGGGAAGGCCTGACCTCTTTCTTTTCCCATATTAGTAATTTATAAATGCTGTCTTAAGGATCACTTTACTAAAAGCAGCTTTTCCTTTTCAGGCCTTTTTTTTTTTTTCCTTTGGTTACATTTTAGTGCAGTGCGTGGTGGAAAGGTGGGCTTGGAGGACTGGCAGGAATGGAAACAGGGAAATCAAAACTGTGTGAGCGATGAAAAAGTCCCTTGGCGTTTCCTTCCAGGATTTGGGGGTTAGAAAGAAGAGGTGGCTTCAAAAGGCTGTGGGGGTCCTGGGCAGTCATGGTGCTCTGCTGGGTTAAGGACATGACATGCTTCTTGTTTGATGTTATGGGAGTTGTCATCTCACAGTGGATAGTGTGATTTGATTAACAGCTTCAAGGTTTCTTTAGGGGCTGCAGCAAGCCTGAGCCATATGAGCTGGGTGGCAGAAGAGCCACCAGAGCCCAGTGATGATTCATGTGCTGGAGCTAAGGTCCCTCAAGATGAACACTGTGCAGGATCCAGCTAGGTTTCTGGGAATTTCAGGCCTGTTGCCAAGACTTCATTCAACCTCAACGCTACACTGATGGGCGACAGGGCCAAACTTCTTTTGGTTGGACAATGAATTCAGAAAAAGGGCTTGCCCAACCAGTGATGGAGGCTAAAGAGAGACTGTACTTAATCACCTGCCTGTTCTGTATCATCAGTATCAAGCAAAAATTTGCTGAAAACAACTGGCAGGATCTTTGCCCAGAAAAATTCATCAGGCAACAATGAAAAATAAATTTCTGGAAAACTGCATCTTATAGATGGACAATGTGAACAAGGGACAGTGGCCCAAATGACCAGGTCATTGCTGCTGATTGTTGCTGAGGCTTGTGTTAGGTTATCACCAGGAGAGAAAAACCACCACATGTAGATGTCTTTCCTTTAAAAGTTTTTAGTAACTGCATTTCACCAAGGTAAAGGAAAGGCAATGCCTTGGCACTGTGTTTGAGATCAAGGACAGCATTGGTATATAGCGGCACTGGAAGGTCAGATATTATCTCCAGAGTCATCCTTCAGAATTGATGGTGGAGTTGAGTCAACAGGGTCCTTTCATCTTCGTTACAGGACTTATAAAAGGAATGACAGACATAAGCAAGGAGGGAGAGGCATACATTAGAAAATCTATTTAGAGAATAATCAAACTTTTTGAGGATTTTCTTTTGAATCTCCTGGAAAAACTTGGCGTGTGTTGATTTTCTGTTTGATTTTACCTTTGAAAAGAGGAGCTTCTCGCCTTCCACTTGATTGTGAATGATGAGCTCCCTTGTTTCCACTGATGTCTCTTCCTTTCACCTGGGTAGATAAACAGCACCATCCAGGACAGGTGATAATGCCATCCACCGCCAATTTGCTCCTACTTATAACCCCAGCACTATAGTGCTTTTGTTAGGACCCTTGTTGCCTATAAACTCTTGGTGATAATGGGAAAACATATTACTCTGCTGGTCTACTAGGAGGCTTCTTAGGTTTTAATCAGTTCTATCTGCTGCTTCTTGTTGTCTTTTGGGACCTAAAACAGGGCAGGTTGCTTGGAAGGTATGACATGCTGCCATCTGTGATAATGACCATGTCCTACAAGAGATCCCATCACCTGTAGCCTGACTGACCTGTTCCTCAAGTTGACTTGTTGTCTGATTTAATCCTGATGGTAAGTAAGAAGAGGTGCCTCATTTACCTACGAGATATTGATGAACTACAGCATCCTTCCTCCAGGTTGGTCTGCAGCTTGTAAGCTGACCACTTGAAGGGCTGGACCCTTTATCTAATCCTGTCCTTGGGGTTAGCTATGATTTTGTGTGCCAGTACGTGGCACGGACAAGGAGGCTTCATTTCCCAATTAATACCCTTCTTCATCTCTACAGCCATGGTGAGTAATGTCAGAAAATGCAGGAGCATGACCGTGAAAGAGACACTGGCCTGAATTATAAGCTACTGCAAAGATGCCTTTATGTTGCCATCTGGAAGATGTTTCTTGAGACAAAGCAGCTTCAGTGTGATAAAATCAAAAAGCAGTGTTTAGCATTTGTAATGCTCCCTTGGCTGTGAACCCAGCGATGAGCTGCATTGTCCTTGGATGTGGGGATGAGTCCCTTCTCTGAGACCAAGCCAGTGACAATACCCAGCATTGATCAGAGCCCTTGGCAGAGGAGCGACTCCAGCATGGTGGTCATTTGGGCTACGTGGAGGTGGTGTCAATGACTACAGAAAGCAGCCAGAGCTATCTGAAGGGTCCATCACCCTTAAGATAAAAGACGTTAAAGATGGGAAGAGTGAACTCATCTATTCTTCCAGGAGTCTTGATGTGCTCCAAAATATGAATGGACTAAGCCTTCCTTCCAGGACGGGAAACAGTTCATTTTCTGTTAGAGAGACGGTGATACCAAGGCGCTGAGATTTGAGTCCCTTTTGTGACGGTGGCAAAGAGAGATGGTGTAGGACAAGGAAGGGAATGGGAGTTTCTCAGCTTGCACTTGTCTTCTCTTGGCTGCATCCTTATCCTTCCCTGTGTATGTGGAGGTCCCTGAACAAGAGCATCTGGGCTGTGCCAGCTGCTGTCTGGGCTGGAGTTGTGTGATAGCTCTTTTGGTTGCTGATCCTTCTCTGAGATTCTTTAGTTTAGGACCAATGACCTCTGTGAGAGACAGAATTGTGGAATTTGGAAATAGCAGAGGAAATGGTCTCTAGACTTCAAGACCACAAGTAGTGATTTTTCTCCCAAGTCCTCTAATTTGAATCCTTTTTCCTCCATCAAGCTCAGCATAACCCAGGAAGATGTCATGCACCTGAAGTGGGATGAGTTCAGCTCAGAGGAGAAGATGATGCAGGTTGAGGCTGGTGGAGCAGCTCTTGTTCCACTGCACCCCATGTACATGAGGATGACTTTGGCTGTGGTGGTGTCAACACGTGAGCTATGAGTTCTTTAGAGTTTGCCCACACATGCAGATATTCACCAAGCCCTCCTGGTGTGATCTGTGCAAACTGGAGATGGGATAAGACTTGTGTTTTCTCATCCTTGCGTTGTCTCTATGCATAAAGTGCCTGCATGCAAGGGAGGGATGACCAGGCTATGTGCCCTTAGCCAGAAGGAGAGACAGGCCTCTGCCTGCGGAAGGAGTTGGTGTCTATGGAAGCCATGAAGCTTGGGACCTCCCTGCCAAGAGGGGAAAGGGAGGCAGGGAGAGGATGAGTGTCCATGACTGGGGTAGAAATGAATGCACTGAAGTCCCTGTGGGGGAAGTTTTTGCCATGAGCCCCATGACAAATGTTTCTAACAGGGTATACTGGGGGACTGCTAAGTCTTTTAAAAAAATATCAAAAATCTGTCTGTCTCTCTCTCTTTCTTCTCGTGTTAAGGGCCAGAATACTGGGGTAGGGAGACTGGAAATTTGGTATTTCTCTGGGACAGATGCAAAGAAGCGAGGTCTTTCCTTTCCCATGACCTTTGCTTGTGCCATAGTTCCCTCCAGCACTCGTGAGGGGCAGGTTGCTATCTCAGACGAGTAGTAATTTTTTTTTCCCTTTTCATATTATAAAATACAAACAAATGACAGAAAAGGTCAGGTGGTGGGAAGTGGGAGGGAGTTCAGCTGGCTCAGAGCTGTAGGGACCGTCTCTTCCTCCCAGAGATGTTACGGTGGTTATAAGGTCTCATCTTCATTTCCACGAAGGGGATGGAGAACTCATGGCCTTTCCAATGGTACCAGTTAATCCCCTGGCAGAAGGAAGAGAAAGGCACAGGGTAAAGAAAGACCCGAACATGAAACTAGAGTGGGAGAGGAAGGAAATAAGGTTGACTGCTGTAGAGAAGCCAGAAGGAAGAACTTGCTACAGCAGGAGCAAGAAACTCTTCTGCTGCTCTGGCTTGATGTTTTTTCCCACTGTTCAAAGGCTCCTGATCAAATTTTATGTATGTATGTATTTTTTTAAAATGAACTTAATAAGGTTCCATGGTAAATGACCATGGCAGCCAGTGTGAGGCACAAAGCACCAGCCCAAGTGTTTGAAGGTGGTTCCATTTTCTCCAGCTTGTGTTGGGTCATACCAGTGGTGCTCCTGACCCTGGTGCACCAACCATGCAGCCCCAGCCCTAGCTTGGGCTTGCTGTTGTGCTTGGTCATGCTGATAGGAGAAATGCTGAAGGCTTTCAGCCCAGCTCTGCCCTTACCTGACTGTGCCGGGACTCTCCGTACTTGCCGTTGAGGTTGGTGCGGTGACAGTTCTTATACCACCAGGCCCCTTTGTAGGACATGGCGCAGTTGGTCACAGCGACATCGTTGTCCCTGTCCTTGGTGGAGAAGGGGCGGCCCTGGTGATAGCTGAGGGAGTCCCCTGTGGAAAGAGGTGCCATTAGGGGTGAGGGAGCCTGAGTCATCTGGTCTTTTCAGAAGAAAATTAGAATATTCTGGTATATGTGGTAGCCTGTGGATCAACAGCTCAAGCAGCTGAAGGCCTGGGAATAATGTTAACTGGAATTGCTCACATTTGGTTCATCTGAGTGCTGTTGGTTTAGGATCAGTACAGACCATAGAAAACCTTAGAGGCTGATTGGGTTTGGCAGATAGAATTCTGTATAGGTTTGGATCTGAATTTCAGCGTTTCAGAAATGAATTAAATCCTAGATTTAGGCATCCCTGGTTTCCTGAAGCTTGGATCTGCTACATAACTTCAGGATACTTTCAACCTCCTTCCCTCCTGTTAGCCACAGGGAACTTTTTCTCACAGAGAAGGCCTACGATTCACCTCTTGAACCAAAATGCTTCACCTTCTTTTCTCCCTTTGGATAACGGTAAGAACCTTTTGGAAGGTGCATAATGTCTTACTACACCAAAGCCACGAACCTCATCTTCCCTGCTTATTAAGGAACAAGTGAGCTGCTTTTGGGTGAAAGAAGAGCCAAAGTGAAACATGGTCATTATTACAACTGAGTGATGTACTTACACAGGAGACATTCTTAATATGTTCCTTGGTGGTCCCTAAGAAAATTCGAAGTGGATCCATGCTAGCTGTGTGTAGTCCAACCACTGAGAGTCTTGCTAGAAAACCTCTTGGCAATAAACCATTTGGTCTTGTCTCTCTTTGCTCAAGGTGGAGCAGAAGCTTCTTGGTTGGACAACTAGAAGAAGAGCTTGCTTGAGGAAAGGAAAGCAGTTGTTTCTGCAGCACTGTTACTGCCATTTTTGGCAATAGGTTGGGTGCCTTGTGTCCTGGGACTTAAGGTCAGATTAAGTGTTGTGTTGCACGCAACCAAGATCCCTGTCTTCTCTTCCAGTGGTAACTACCAGACATTGTATAAGAAAATTCCTGCATTTTAGATACAGTGTGTGGTTCCTCGCTAAGTATATGGCAGTGAAGCTTTGTATGGATCATGGGGGCTTGCAGTCACTGGGCATGTCTATCCCAGCTAGAGGGGCTGCAGCTGCACCCCTCTACTACTTCTTGGGGAAGACACCCCCTCCCTCCATCACCCACCATTTTCCCATGGGCTAAGCCTAGTGCTACTGCATCAGCTGAGCAAGCAGGTGTGACAGTGTCCTTGCAAAAGTGAGTTGTGTCTAGGACTTCCACATCAGCAAAAGTGGACTGTGTTTGGCCTCTGTATGAGGAAACAATGAAGAAGATTTCAGATTTTTCCATTGCTGTGGGAGGGTGATAAAAACACCCTGCAGCATGGCATCAATAGCAAGCTGCAGTGATTGCCAAGTGAGATGGCACCTTTGATGACTGACCTGTTTTTTTTGAACAGCAGTGCTTCTGATATTTAATATCTAATCCCAGTGGAAAATTCCCTGGGACCTTAGTGGGATTTATCAGCATGGTTTATATGATGGACTGAAGGAAAGCAGAAAGGGCTATGGGTTTGTCTTGCTTCTCCAGACAAGTAAGCTTATATATTGGGATTTCCTTTACAGTTTCAGACCCACAAGTCCCAGGATTTCCCTACTACTTGCTAGCAATGAGGTTGTACCCGAAGTGCCATTGTAGTCCCCTATTCGCAGCTTGTACAGGCTCCGGGAGTCACCAATGGAGAACTTGTCATAGTAGGCATATGCCGATTCCTGGCCGTCCCTCATGTCTATTCGCAACTCATAGCGCCCTTGGGATGTGACCTTGTGGATATTGTCCAAGCCTGGTGAGACAAACAGCGAGACACCTGGTGAGACCCAGTGCCTGGATTTGCTCTGTGAGCAAACAAAAAGCTCTAGGCAAATAAAATGGCTGTGGGAATGAGAGCAAGCAGAGGAACCAAAAAGCAACAGCACTTCTGGTTAAGTCTTTGTCTCTCCTGGCACTGGTGGTGTCTGAACTCTCTGTTCCCACTCAAGTTTTTCCTCCCCATGTCTATGCTATGAGATGGAAGTTCAAGGCCCATGTTCAGCTTTCTCCATGCTACTCAAGCTGGGGGCATTCAGATGTGGAGCCCTGTTGCTTCTGATGTTTCTTTTAAGCTCCCATACAAGTCAGAGAGTGTTTATGTTGCAGGGCTGGCCTAGGCTGATGTTCAGGTTTTGTGGGAGCACACTGTTTCAGAGTCATGCTGTGTCTCCCACTTATCCCTTTCCTACTTTCTTTGCGTTTGCTGAGCTGTAGATGCCACCAAGGCAGCCTCTAGTCTTCCAAAGGAGGTTGATAGGTTTTGGTCCATGAAGACTCCCAGTGTACCTCCTTCTCTCCTAGGAGAAGCAAATTAGGGAGCTGCTGGCCTTCACAATGTGCTTTTATGTGGCATGCCCATGAGTGACTTTCTAATGTGAAGGCCAGACAACAAACAACAGAAGGAAAACTGTCCAAGGGAGAGCATAGAGGAGTGGGTTGAAAGGCGAGGAGCCAACAGCAGACACGGGTGAGCAGCACAGTGTACGGGAAGCCTGGGTTTGTCACGTCATTGAAAGACAACCAGATAAGGTCTTACCGAGCCAAAACTCATCCTCCAAGTTTCCAAAGCCAACCTGGTATTCTGCCCATTTCCGGAAGAAATCAGTCAGCCCATTCTGCCGCCTCTGGAAGACCTGTGGTGGGGGAAGACCAGGGGGAAGTTTAGTGTGAAAGAGAAGAGGGCTGGCCTTGTCGAGCTTTGGGGCACATAAAATAAAGACAGTACTTTGTCTTTCCATCGTGCCTTTCAGGGTAGAAAATTGCAATGACAATCCAGTTAGTGTTAATTGCAGCCATGCAATGAATTCCTGTGCAGATGGAGAAACTGAAGAGATGTTAGATGATGTCCAAGGCAAGTCATTGTTATAATAGGAAGGAAACAGCCTTCAAGCTTTTTTCTCTATCCAATGCGTGGTGCCTCTGATTTTCTAGCATGTGATTCTGCTTTTGGCTGGCTTTGTCTGTGATATCCAAGGTGATGCTCTGAGGCAGAGTGAGATGGAGGGAAATTTCCTGGCTAAAATAACATCCATGCTAGAAATCAGCATTTGAGAAAGCTCCTTTTTTTTTGTTTCAACTATAGTGGAGTTTTCTGTAATGTGTGTAAGCAAGCATTTGACACAAATAAAATCAAAGCACCAGAGCATTATTTACTTAAGCTGTCAGTCCATCTATGTCAAGACAAGCAGTGTTTGTGCAATTCAAAAGCCAAACAGGCATTTTCCTTTAAAATGCTCTTGTGTGGACTCAATCGGGGTGATGCCTGACACCCTCCTACTGCAGGCAGTGTGAATCATTCCCCATGAAAGCTATCGGCCATTAGTTTCATTTCTAGAACAATAAATCAGCTTCACTCTCAGATTTTGCTCTCCAGAAGCACTGCAAACACGTCAAATAAATCAAAGGGCATTCCTCCAAGTGTAACTATTATTACTGGAGCTTGGGCCATTCCCTATGGCGTGGGAAATGAAGCGTGTGATATTAAGCCTGCTGTCGTTCCCACGCAGCGTGGTGCTTGGCTTTGGTGGTAGGATGAGGCTCAGTTAATTTGCAATAGGGACAACATGTAGGACAACTGCACAGCTACTCACAATCCAGCCGCCTCCGTCGGTGGTCATGTCACAGTAGACCTGCACCCGCTGGCTGAGGTCCCCGTTGATGGAGATGGTGTAGATGCCACTCAGCGTGTCTCCATTCATCAGGTGCTGAGCGCAGTCCTGAGGGTTAGCAAAGACACGGCCACCTGTGAAATTTAAAAAAATACCCAAAATGTAAGCAGAGTATCACCCTTTCCACATGCCTTGGGCACCACTGGTTACAATCCAGGGAAGGTCTAACTTGGCTTCTGCATCTCAAGTTATTCTGCAAGGCACTGGGACTTTACATGTCAACAACATCAGGGAATTTAATGGAAAAAAATATGTGCATATATTAATATCCCATACATCCTATATTGGAAAGCTGCATGGTAACATCACTATGAATGATGAAGGATGTCACTTCTTGGCCCATCTTTCTGTGCTGCGTCTGAAACCCTGGGGTTTAAGCTGTCACCAGCATATTTAGACAGCTGTGAAAATATCAAAACCTGTTCTCCTCTCAGAATTGCCAGCTCCAAACAAGTTTTATGACTTTACTGATTCCAAGGGGATTCTCCTGATCCATGTCCTTGGAAATGATGGTGGACTTACACTAGGCTGATTGTCACTTGCAAACTGAGTAGGAATTAGACCATGTGAGATGCTACAGATGGGTAGCATGGGCTGTGTGGCTGTGCTCCAGGTGTCCTCTAATGAAGAAACATCTCATTTGGGAGTCAGAGTTTAAGAGAGTCTTAACTATGAGACCCCAGCAGTATTGGGATGTCAACTCTTGGGTTAATTTTTTTTTTCTCATTTAACACAAAAGGGGGAAATACACCTTTTTCTTTGCTGATAGTGTGTATAGATAATGGAGTACATGAGTGCAAAGCTGGCAATGAGGATGTGGCTTTCAAGGATGTCTCGATTATGCATTGAGAAGGTGTGAAGGACATGCTGTGTCCATCTGTCACAACTGTGTGATACCCTGTAGGACCAGGGTACAGACTCTTGTCTATTATTTCTCACTTGGGTGTATTCCCCCCTACCCTTGGAACCTGAAGACTCAGAGGTTGTTGCTTTGTCTATATGTTGAAGATCCCCTAAGTTTTCCTGTCTCCATGGTCTGTAGCACAAAGTCTGGTGAGACAGTGTTTGCATTTTATAGTATCCAACAATGAAAACTGCTTCAAAGACAACCACTTCAGGCTCCCCTGAGCTCTGTGGAGATGACTTGTTTCTTAATTTATATTCATATCTTTAAGAGCCAAGGAGACCTTGAAAGACATTTCAAACCACTATAAATTATAAATACTGTATCTGTTTCTTCCTTTTGTCCCATCTGTATACAATTCCCCAAGAACCTTATGCAAACATGAAACAAAGAGGCTGAGCTACTAATATGTCAGAGGGAATAGAAGAACCCCAGGATGTGTACTGTGAGCAAAAGGAAGCAAAACAATTTAAAATAAGCCTGCTTTTTTTTTTTTCTTTTCTTTTTTTGTCTCCTTAAAGACAAGTCCTTGTTCTCTGCAAAGTGCACTGGTACACTACCAGTGTAAACTGAATCCCACCCAGACCCTGATTGTTTGCTGAGGGATGCTGCCCATGGACTGAATTGCCTTGGCGGTTGTTTCTGGGTTCTTTTGTCTCATCGATATATGGGGTAAGTGGTGAGAAACTGATGTCTTGCTAATGCCTACCTTCTACTTAAAAGCAAATTAAACCTGTGTTTGGATGCTGCATCAGCTAGCAATGGTGTCTCTAACACTGCTGAGGTCTGACATTTGTATTTAATGGAAATGGTGCTCTCCTTGCCTGATGTGAGTGGGTTTCTGCTGCTTTATCCCAGCTGAGAAGCCAACCCTCTGCAGTTTCATCCCTGACTCCTTAACAGCCTCAAAGATTACACACATTTTTCCATCACCTGCCTGAATTGCACTGGCTTTATGTATCTGCGTAAGAAGCGAGAATAACAGGAAAGTCTGATCTGTAAATGCATTAGAGAAGAGTCTTCTTTTTTTGTTGATGTAAATAGTTTTTATTATCTCTTAAAAGCAGGTGAAGGCAACCTTGCATGTAACTGCGATGGGGAAGTGTATCCACAGCAGAATCAAAGAAAACTCTCATAATTGAACTGGTAATGCAGATGAGAGGAATTTTGGTGGACATCATCTTCAGGCTTCTTAGTGATTTTGAAGCCCAGGAGAAATGTAATTGGATTCAGCCCTGAACAAAATGCATTCTGTTAAGTGCCCTAGCCTAGTAAGGCTTTTCAAAGAGGGTGAGGGATGATATGCTTTGCACAGTTTCTAATATGAATGGTTGGAAAGGGTGGGAGCAACAGTGACATTTTCACACAAGCGTTTTCATTCTTGCAAGTGTAAGCACTCTGTGAAGGTTATGGTGGCTGTGGATGCCCACTCTTTGATTTGGAAAGGAAGCCATTCTTGTTGCCTCAGTGGATAATATTTCTCTAGAATTAGAGTGGGGAGAAATAATGCAATTAGACAAAATCAGTGGGACCACAGTCCTGCAGGCATGCTGGGTCTACTGCCTCTGACTTCACTGGTGGTGGTAGAGATACACCTCCTTGATATTTCCAGGGAGTCCCCATTGCTGAAAACATTCAAGGTTGGACAGGGCTCTGAGCAACCTAATCTAATAGAAGATGTCCCTGCTTGTTGCAGGGGGATTAGGCTAGGTGATCTTTAAAGGTTCTTTCCAACCCAAACTCTTCTATGATTGGTATTTGTGAGAGATCAGGCCATGTATACAGTGTGGAGACACCAGCTGGGTATCTCCCCACTCTCTCCAAGAGCATACCTGTTGATAAGTGTTGTTGACTTCTGTGAGTTTTTTTCCTCTATTTATGCACTTGAGGAGGGGAAAGGGCAAGGCAAAGTGCATGGTAGATTGTTCCTAGTCTGAAGCTCAAATCCCCTTGCTCTGGGCTGGGTCTTGTGTAGATTCTCCAGCCACTAACCTTTTGTAGCAAAGCAGCACTGTGGGTCATGGCAATGAATGAACCTCTTTATGGAACGTGGTGAGATGCTGCATGAGGAGGGAAAGCCCATAAAAGCAGTCTATGTCTACCAGCATGACATGTGGGCTAAGCCCCACCTGGCCGAGTAGATGTGGTGCAAGTCCTCACCTGTGGTGAAGGTGGTGGATATGAAGCCACTCCGCATGGCATTTTGGGCTGCTTGCAGGCGCACTGTGTACTCTGTGGTCTCAGAAAGCCCCTCCAGGCGGATCCATGTGTCCTCAGCATCCACAATCAGCTCCTGTACATGGGTCCCAGAAGGAGGTAGACACCAAGAGCAACAGATGAAAAAAGTGATGGGGAGCCTAAAGAGCAATCAAGGAGGGAAGGGAAGCCACGAACTATTGCAGCCCTTGGAGCCTGGCTGAGAAGTGCTGCATGGCTGCTTACACCCCTGGACTAAGTCAGTGTGAGGTCAGTGAATATATTCAACCTTTTGGGATGGTTTGGGTGGGAGAAAGCTAGCTGGTTTGGACACAGGAGATTTAAATGTTTGCAGTCTGTGTGCTCTGTTTACTGCCTCTGTTGGGATCTGCATGCCCTCAGTACAGGGCATGACTGATTGCCCAAGCATCATAAGGAGTAGAGCTGACCAAACTTCATTATCAGTTAGTTTTGACTCTGTCAATTCCAGTCACATTAATTTTTCTGGTTGTCAGCCAATGCCACATAGCATTACATCGAACCCCTTCTGCAAAGCTATTATCCTCTGGCTGCTGTGAGCCAGTCACACTGGCAAAGGAAATGAGACTATTTGCAGTGACGTGTTTCTGATAGTGTTTGTAGCAGCTCTTCCAGACAGGCAGATATGGACACAGTCATTAAATAATCAAATATGTTGTACTGAGGCATTAATTAGATGTCTGTACCTATCTTCTTTTATGCAAGAAGGGCAAATGGCATTTTTAGCATCTCTGTTCATAGGATAATTTTCTCCTGCCTCAGCTTGATTGTGTTTCACAAATTGTGAATTTCCCCTGTTCCTCCAAACTTTCCAGGTATGCCCTCTTTGCCCAGACCTGCAGGTGTGCATAAAGGTTTTGCCCTAGACAATCTTTTCCTGCTTTTTCCAATTGTTTATTTAAAGTATCACTTACGCAGAAAGTAGCATCTGCCCTTCTGGTCTTTCCCTGACCTAGTAAGCATTGTTCTTCTGCTTTGTTGGTTTCTTCGGTTCATTTCTCCACAGTCACATTATTCTGTGACTTAATGACCCTCTTTCTTTGTGAGGACTCACCTTCCGGCTGCCATCGGTGGATCTGTAGGTCATGACATAGTTCTCGATCTCTCCCACGGGAGGCACCCAGGAGAGCAGGGCACTCCGTCGAGTGACTTCACTGGCGGTCAGATTTGTTGGAGGATCCAAAACTGCAAGGGATAGAGACAGGGACCCAGAGAAGTGCAAATTCTCACACACAAACACACCAGCCCTGCTTTCCAACTCAGTTCACTGGGATTCAGCCTTGCAACTCTGAGCTACAGCCCAAAGTCCATCCTCACCCTCTGTTTCCAGACCTCATCTCCCATTCCCAGCCTTGAACGGTGCTCTGCAAACCCTTGAAAAGTCATCCTCTACCTGAATGCTCTCTGAAGGGTAACAGCTTTGAAATTCATGTACTATGGGGCCTGCCAAGCTTCTTGTAAGCAAAATGGGTTGTAGTACTCTTCTGGACTATGGCCTTGGGCAAGAAAAAAAAAACGTTCAAGGGTCTTCTTGGGAAACCACATCCAGGGGAAATCAAAGAAAGGAGTGGATGGATGTTGAAAGGGTGAAAATGATGGTTGGTGCTTGTGATTAAAAATCTGTTCTTGTGTCCAGCAGTGGTATTTGGGTGTCATTTTGGCACAAGGCTACTTCTACCCCCATGTGTATGTGACAAGAACTTTGACTGAGCCTTGCTGTCTGCTTTTCCTGGGGTGGATGTATGGCTAAGGATGCATAACAGGCAGGGGGGGAGGTGATTGTACTTACGAGTTGTGAAGTTGGTGCTAATGGTCTGGCTGGTGAGAGGTCCATTGGTCGCATACATAGAGACTGTGTAGGTGGTACTGGGCAGGAGATTTGTCAGCTGATACTCCTGATGGACTCCATCCACTAGAATTGTTTCTCCTGAAACTGTAAGACAAAGTTGCTGAGTTAGGGTAGATGTTCAAAGTTATTCTCCATAATGTGGCTATGGGTATCACCTCATGAACAAAAGCACTTATACTGCTGAAACACCATGAGCTACTGTGCAGCAGCTGAGCTGCAGTGGTGGCGTTCAGTCAGAAGGGTTCTTATTTTTCCCACAGTCCCTATATTTGTCTGATACTTTCTTTCCCTTCAGCAGTGGGTTTCATTGCATTTGCCACACACCAAGTTTCTGTGGGATGGGTACTTGCTTTCCCCTGGGCTGCTGCTGGTGGGCCAGTTAGCAAAGCAGGAGCATCCCAGTCCCCTCCTGTGTGGACTGCCATACTTCAAGGCTTGGTGGGGGCTGTGCAAGGTTTAATCCTTGCTGGGATGAGAAAGCACGTTGCCATTGCCCCTCCCCGACCCGTGCCGGTCTGGTTGGAAGTTAAACACAGACCCCGGCTAAAATAACAAGAAATTTAATACAACAGAGTGATAGAACAATCTGAACAACAACAGTATAAATGGTCACAACAGCAATAACAGTGAACAAGACAAAAGATATACAGAGAAATGCCACTAAATGATCAAGGAGCAAACCCGCCACATGTATGGCAAAAACCAACACCAGAAGCAAAAGTAAAAAGGCTCCACCCCTGGACCTGACGTCAGCATGGTATGAATAACCCGGCTGGAGATCCCTTCTCCCTCTCTCTGCTGGGGAAAACTTTACTCTGTCCCGGCTGAACCAGGACAGGGGCCAGTGGAAAGCACGTGCCATTGGACCTGCACTGGAGGAGCTGACGTCTGGGGACAGGGTACAGCCCTGCCCTCCTGAATCAAGGGCTCCTTCCCTACTCCCTCTGTAGAGGGCACCCACCAAGCCCTGGGCTTTGGGGTGGGGGAGAGGCAGAGATGATCTGAAGCAAAATCCCAGCGTACCTGCACGGCGGGTGAGGACGAGGATGTAGCTCTCCACCTCGGACAGTGGCGGGTTCCACTGCAGCAGTGCCTCGGTGGGGGTGATGTTGGTGGCTGTGACCCCCAAGGGGGCATCCATGGCTGCATGGGGGACAGATTCAGAAAGTCAGAGGCATTAAGAGACTGGGCTATATACTGGGAGGGCTTTTTGTGGCCCATTGCTCATGGTTCTGCCTTGCTGCCCAGGCATATGTGCATGCAGAGGAGTTATTGCTGCCCTAGCTGGAGAGCAGAGATGTCATAACTTGTGCTACTCTGGTACTGGGGCTTCTCCTCCACTGTTTTCTGATGCACAGCTTGGGATCTTAGTTTTTTGTTGCTTTTTTTTTTTTAGTTTTGAAGAATCTGGAGATAGCAGAGGATTTTATTCTTGCCGCAGATGCTGTTTGTGTCAGGGCTTCCCCAGGGATTATTTCTGGAAGCCTGTACTCCCTTTAGGGAAAGTTGTCATGGTTGCCCAACATCATATCTCTGGCTTCCCCATGCCCGGTACACAGATTTATCACTCCCGCCTTCCTCCC